TCTTTGATCCATTGGCTAGGAAAGAACACTGTTCATTGTGGGTGTGCTTCTGTGTAAAATGACCTTAATGATAGTTTCCAGGGAAAAGCAAGGTTTTGACGGTAAAAGCCGAACTGAAACGTAACACCCTTCTGAGAAACTTAACCGGCAGCGACCTAATTAAACTCTTCTGCGAAGAGAGACGCACTGGCAGATGTTTTTTTAATCTCGATTTTCGCCCTTATTTGGAAGCTAGGTTCAGATTGCTTCAGTGGTCTCTGTAAAGTATTTCTGCAGTCGAAATTAACCGTCAAAAATATTCCTCTAGTGATCGCAAATTAATCTCGCGATCATGAAAACTTAACTGTTTTCTCACCACCTGTCTAAGTGCAATTTATTCTAAATTTTGACTTTAAGTGCTTTTCTGTATATCTCTAAAACGGCCCGACAGACATGTCGTGAGAAAACAGATTAGTTTTCAGTATCGCAAGAAAGGAAATACACCAAAATTTCCATACATCGAAATATGATATTAAGCAGCCTTCTGACGCTACATTTGAGTTATTTAGAACTTTTCATTAAATAATTTATTACGACTACTGAAAATATAAGGTTTGAAATATATTTACGTTTTATTTGAATTTTAACATACAGAGATTTTTACTTCTCACGGAGGTTATTTGCTAAACACCACACTATAAGTTCGTGGTGTCGAATTTTCAGTAGCAGGTCTAGATCGCGCGAAATTCGGATTTAATCGATTTCAAAGTTTTTTGTTTATTGTTGTCATAGTGATATCAATTTTACTAGAAACTGCATTTTGACAAACTTCAATTCATATTCAATAACTGGTGAAAATTTTGAGGCGATCGGACAAGGATAAAATCTCTTTTAAGAAAAACATCGGGGTATGGTGTCGGCGGAACTGTTTAGAAACACCTTATAAAAACAAACTCCCACCCGGACCGAGGCCTAAGACATCACAAATTTTAAAAAAATAGTATCAATTCATTACGGTAAACTGCAATAAATATATCTTCCTGTTACGATAGTGACCTGCCGCTTTTTCATTTACCAAAAAATAATAAGGTGTTAAAATAGTAAAAAAAGGGTGATAAATATTTCATATTGATTCACTTTGGGGAAGTTATTACTTTTTCGAGTCTGTTCGAAAGTCTTGAAGAGGAGTATTGCGGACTGTTTCTAGCGGATCATTAACACCTTTAAAAACGAGGAGTAAAATGTAAGTAAATGAAGTAAAAAAAACTTTCTCCCTTTCCTATTTCTCAAATGAATTAAGGCAGCTGTAGATTTAACTAAATTTGCTAGAGAGAGTTTCCTAAAATAGAAGAATAGCTAATAAAGGGATCTGCACAATTTTCCTCTTATCATACGAAAGCCGGATTCCTCGTCGACTTTCTTCAAAACGTTTTTCTGTCAGTTCTTGCTAATTTTGCTTGAGTAGTCTTGCATTTTTTGCTTTTACTTTAAGCAAGAAATTGGACTATTTCGTTTCGGCGGTGAACTCTTCAGCCATTTCCACGAGATCATTCATGTAAACAACCTAGGCTAATGGGTGAAGGTTTTGAGTCTGTTCTGAATGTGTCTTAATGAGGAGTTTTGCAGACGCTTCTTTGTAATCATGCATTACACCTTTATAAAGAGGAGTAAAATGTACTTAAATAAATAAGAAAGTGCATGGTTTGCCCGCTCCCCTCTACTTCAAATGAAACAAGGCAACTTTAAAAACCTTGCAAGAGAAAGTTTTCTAAAAGTAAAGAAAAGTAACAGACAGCAATAAAAAAGACAATGATAATCAATCTCATTATAAAAATTAACTTTAAAAAAGAACAACGAAGTTTCGACCGTTCGACGGTCATTTTCATGTTAAGAAGTCAAAAATTAGCATGGAATGGTGATTATCAGAAATGGTCCCCGACTAGACGCAAAAGTGTAAGTGGAACCAACCAATGCTGGGCTTTTACTGAATTACAAAAGCCATGCTGATGTGAAGTACAAACATTTTCTGCTGAAAGTTTAAAACGTGCGTTCAAACTCTCTTCGAATTTGCAGTTTTTTCATCAAGAATGTGAACCTCTTAAAAAGGTTTTTGCTCGCTTGTATTATCCTGAAACCCTCGTGAAGAACACCATCAGCAGAAATTTTATTGAAACGAAATTTACTGAGAATGCGTGTCTTAAACAACGGGTATCCGATGAACTAGATGATCCCGTCAGAATTGTCTTACCTTTCAAAGACCAGAAGACACCAACGCAGTGATCTCAGTCGAAAGATCGATGTTGATGTCCAGCCTGTTTACACAAGTCAGAAGATCAAAGGACAATTCAAACCAAAGGATCATAAACCT